TGCACACACACACACACACACACACACACACAACACACACACACACACACACACACACACACAACACACACACACACACACACACACACACACACACACACACACACAGATTTCTCGTTCACCCTACTTCTACGTTGAAAAATTACGAACGATAAGCCCTATCACATTTAAGGGACTACGATAAGAAAGGCCGAGAGACTACATAAGCGCCGCGAACGTCAACACAAACCATAGTATTTCATTCACTTCCTCCCATATTTTGTTCCTCGGCTCAGAACCGAATTAGATTTGGAGATAAGAAGATAAAAATGCAGCCACAGGTCGCCCAGCTACGATGTCTTCAGCGGCTCTACAGGAGTGTAAGTATAAGGCCAAACTTTTTCTTTTATAGATAAAAGTGTCAGTGATGCTTATGCTTATTATTTTTTTTTTCTCCATTTTTATCCGTAAGACAATAAAAACCTCTGAAAAATAATGATTTTGTACTGCGTTTCCCATTAGCATCTTTGTTCATATTCATCGGGTTATGTAGGTACATAGTATGTCTTTTATGATACCTGTATGTGTTACTTTTCTTGATACTATTCGTAGATAATAATAATGAAAAAAAAATCTGATCTGGGTCAAAATCATATACTTTTAGATACGTTGTTTTTAAGAGGAAATAAGCGATGCCTTTGACAGTAAAGATCAATGTTCCTACAAATGAAAACGACTTGTGGTTCATATATACACCTAGCCTCGTTTACAACTTGCTTCAAAATCCCCTACAAGTGAACTTATTCCTTCTATGCAAGTTTGAGAGGCTAGGATACCAGTATACGGTGAGTCTCATCAGAAATAGAAGCACATTGAGGGGTTCTTGTAGAGATTCCTCTTGCGAGACAGAGAGACAGAGGAGAGAGAAAGAGAAAGAGAGAGAGACTTTCTTCCTCTTCCCCCTTCTCCTCCTTCCCTTCCTCCTCTCCACCCTTTCCCCCTCCCCCCCTCCTCCTCTCCCTTCCTCCCCTCTCCACCCCTTCCCCCATCCTCCTCTCCACCCCTTCCCTCCATCTCCTCCACCCCTTCCCTCCATCCCTCCTCTCCACCCCTTCCCTCCATCCCTCTCTCCCCCCTTCCTCCATCCCTCCTCTCCCCTTCCTCCACCCTCCTCTCCCCTTCCCACCATCCTCCTCTCCCTTCCCTCCTCCCCCCCTCCCCCCCTTCCCCCCCTCCATCCCTCCTCTCCCCCCTTCCCTCCCCCCTTCACGATCTTCAGAGCCTTCGGTAGGTCTGAAAGCCTCAAGGGAGACCGTGACGAAAGGTATAAAGTTATCTAAGACCAATAGAATATAAGGTCTGTTCAGGCTGTTTCGAAATGGGTTGTTTACTACGTACCTCGGGTATGACGTCACGAACAGTGGCCCAAGCCTCTCCGGTTGAAACCATTTCTATGATAGTACAATAGATTTGATTAATATTTGCTGTAATCATTATCTTCCCTATTAATATAAAAAAGCACGGTCTACTTTTACAGCTTTCACTTCCTATTTCAAACCTTCGCGAAACGAGGAAGGTGGGATAAGCTTGTAATCTTAATCTTAGGGGCACCAGCATATATACAGTAGTCCCAAAGCTCACTAACCCAAAGGAGTAGTTAGCTTGCGTAAGGAACCAAAACAAAACCGAAAAAATTCAGATTTATTATTTTTATTTTTTTTTTTTTTTTTTTTTTTTTACTTTCACTGCCTGAGGCTTCTGATCCTTCCCAAGATAAGCCGTTGTTTTTTCCCGGATTTTTTTTTCTTCAGAAATTGAGAGTAAAATGACATGACAGTGCATACTACATGACTAATGGGATGGCGTTAGACTTCAGTAGAAATGAAATGATAAGGACAAAGGGAGTGACGATATTTAGATGGTCCCAGCGCGGGGGGGGGGGGGCGGTAGATGCTACGCTGATAAAAACTCGATAAGACTTCCGGTTTTGCGTCCATATGGAGAGCTTTTATTGATATGCAAATGAAGATTGCAGTCAGCGTTTTATTTTGTTATTTAAGACGCTGAAATTTCATATTGCCTGCTCGCACATGGACTACTACTATTCTTGATATTTCTTTATATCATAAAATCAGACAATAAATGATTATGAATTGTGGAATGTATAAAGTATGCATTATCAGTGTATGTTTTGATCAGATTTCACGCAAATGCAATTTCAAAAAGGTTTTGTTTACATGCAGAACCACTCGATAATTTTATCCTTAGTGCACATCAAACGTTTAAAATACGCCACTATTTACGCGTCATGTGATTCAGTCAATCAGTCATGCACAAAATTCACAGGCAGAGTAATAGTTGAGTAACATTTCTTTTGTGATTTCAGGCCAGGCCTCTTGTCGGTCTCTGCTCGAAGCCGGAGCGGCGACGCCTACACTGGGGGCAGAAGGAAGACCCCTTCACTGTTGTCACGGAAGGAATGGTCGATCTCGCACGCAGAATCAAGGGGAATTCGCCCTTCGCTTATTCCGTAAGTGTTTGAGAGAGAGAGAGAGAAGAGAGAGAGAGGAGAGAGAGAGAGAGAGAGAGAGAGAGAGAGAGAGAGAGAGAAAGAGAGAGATTTAATGGCGGGCACGCCTTTACCCGTCATGCCATAATGACATATGACATATACACCGTCAAGACTGGGACAGACAATTCTGTCCCAGTCATGATAAAGGCAAGATGACTTCCCTTTCTGCAATGGCTAAAATATGTAATGACTGTCAATTATCAACAAACCCGCCTCCATTAGGGTTTTGGGCAGATAACATAACAAGCTCGAAATTGTTGTCAACTTCAAACAGCTGTTTTGATTCCTGATAAACGACACAAAAACGACTTAAAATTGTTCTAAGAACTGTTACAAACTTCAAAATGGAAGAAAACTGCAGCAAAGTAAACCAAATATGGCACAGAATACCGCTGTGACTCACTAAAACGTTGTCATATATAATTCCTTTTTTATGAGGGCTTAGCATGGATGTAAGCGCATGATTGTTACTTAAATCATGACCGTGTATGCGCAATATCCTTCTCATGCCTATTATTATCTAGCGTTCTTTCTCTACTTTATCTATGCGCCCAATTAACAAGCCCTTCATCCCACAGGTCCATAACAGCCTCCTCCTCCATGGTCGAGGTCATGCTCGGGAATGCACTTTCTACACCTTGAGAGATCACCCCGATTCCCATGTTGTTATGTGGCGGTATTTGGTGAGCAACTAAATCTCCCTCACTTTGTGTTTTGCAAATGAAGCGTCTTGTTCGTTATCAGTCATATGATGATAATGGCAAGAGCGATGGCAAGGAAACGATGGCGTAATGAGCAGGTCGTTGGGTTGCCGGAACAATCTCAGCCATGATCTGTGTGACGTGTTTCAGCAACCGTCGAACACCTTGCTGGCCGTCCACTGTCGGAGGAGGAGGTCCCCCTGCTGAAGGAGTCCCTGATGCAGTCGCAGCTGATCGACTGGAAGGGAAGGCTGTGCGTGTTCCACGTGCCTGAGTATCTGGTGGACACCGTGAAGGACGTCGTGGAGGACAAGGGAGGCCAGGAACTGACGATCAATAAATGCTGCACTTATACTGGTGATAATATTGGGGATCCTCATGCTTATCTGGCGGAGAATCCAATCCGGTAAGTAGGCGTTAGACGTTACACACACATTTAGTCGGAAGCAAAAACACCATCATAATATTGAGGCAAAAAGAATGAACCACATTATGAATCTTAATACTTAGTCACTGTCCCGTTGCAACGTCTACCCTTAAAGGTGTCCGGCTGGATTCCGGGTAGCACGGCTGGGCAGGGCTGGAGTCAGCCTCATGAGGAACACAGCGGAGTACGACATATGCAGGACTCTCGACGACATGGTTCACATCACGAAGCACGCCCCTTCGGTCGGCCTATACCAAGACCCGAGCGTAGAAGAGGAAACCTGCGTGGACATTGAGAACGTGCCGTTCGCTGGGGACGAGGAGGAGCCTGTAGCTTGGGTCACAACTTCATTCTACGGAGCGATGGGCACCATGATGACCTTGGAAGGGTATCAAAGTCGCGGGTATGGAGAGCTGGTGACTCGGGTTATCGCACTGATGCTCGCTGCCCAGGGTTACGTCCCCGTGGGCCATATAGACGTTGATAATTTTTCTTCTGTGAAAATGGTCAACAGGATAGGCACGGTGCCTATGTCCCATTATGACTATTTCATGTTCCGGAAGTGAGCCAAAGATGCCTCTTTATCAATTACAACTTCACAGAGACATGTACAGCGAAGTGAAGATTTACATCCTTTAGATATTCCTTTTTCAAGTCATTTCACTAAAGCTTTTTGGAATCCGGCAACTGGCAACTGTCTTCCCTGTGTGGTGGTTGGACCCAGGCGGTTGGGCGGTTGCGGCAAAGGCCCCCGGCTTGAATGTCTGACCCCGCGAGCAGGCATTTTGATATATGGATTTGTTGTCTGTCGGTCTATATGTATGTTTCTGTCTATCTGTTTGTCTCTCGATATGTATATATGTGTGTGTGTGTGTTGTGTGTGTGTGTATATATATATATATATATATATATATATATATATATATATATATATATATATATATATATATACTGCATACATATATATATGTGTGTGTGTGTGTGTCCATGTATGTATATGTGTATATATATGTATATATTATGTATATATATGTATATATAATGTATATATATGTATATATATTTATATGTATGCATACATATATGTATATACATGTATATATATATATGTATATATATATATATATATATATAATGTATATATAATATATATAATATAATATATATAATATGTAGTGTATATATACATATATATATACAAATATATATATATTCATATATATATACAAATATATATATATATATATATTCATATATATTTTTTATATATATGTATATACATATATATATATATATGTATATATATGTATATATATATATATATTATATATTATATATGTATATATATATATATAATATGTATATATGTATATATATGTATATATGTATATATATGTTATATATGTATTATATATGTATATATATGTATATATATGTATATATGTATATGTATATATTATATATATGTATATATGTATATATATGCATATATATGTATATATGTATATATATGTATATGTATATATATATATATAATGTATATATATACATATATACACACAAATACATATAGACATATAGAGATGGCTTTTAATCTATATATGTATATATAGATAAATATAGATTGTATAAGTAAAGATATGAATGTATATGGGTGGATAGATTGATGCAAAGAGATATGTATATATGAAATATCTGTGTCTCGGTTATGTATATGTACATATGAAACAATACTCGACTTTTGAAAGACGTTTTCTCACCACATTTTATTTTCATGCTTTACTGTTTATGAGTACCATTATTATTTGTATAAAGGTGGTCTGTATTATTATTAAAAAATAAAACACTGTTTTAGTACGTGTAGGCAATGGCTGTTTATCAATAAAGTACCATGTTATCTTTTTTTTTTCTTTTTTAATCAATGCTTACATCCTCATATTATCGGAAAATTTGTCTCATAGTCTTTTTTTTGCAATAAGTAATGCACTAGAGTACTTTCAAGGAAATGAATAACCTAATAACTGTAGTGTTGTTATACATATCCAGGTATAGCGTGTATATTTCCATACAGGTAACACCACGTTTACAACTAAGGCTGCAAACGAAACAAAATTTAACCTCACACCAATGACATTCACACTGCGACGATAACTTTCTTAACCCTAGATTTATTTTTATTAATTACATTCATAGTACGACCCTAAATATTTTTTTCAGGGCTTTTGTCTAATATTTGTTTTCGTGGCATAGATACAGGACTAATTGGTGGCTATATAAAATTCTCGTACACCCGCGCCAAAGCTCGTTCTGTGGTCACAGGGTATAAGCTCAGTGAATTTATTTATTTTGTTCACTTTGACACGTTTATTGTGAGGCAGAAAAATGACATCTCAAAAGGTTGGGGGTAAGTTAGGTTGTCCTGACTCCTATCTTAATAATTGACACTAGAGGTTCTATTATCTTTCGCATACAAGTATCAAGGAAAGAAATAACAGGTGGATGTGAGTGTGCTCCTGGGTAGAAAGGAGAGAAAGTAGTGGGTATTGTGATTTCTTAACGGCTTTCTAACCTGCGCCACAACACGACCGTATAATTAGAGATTTTTGGTGGTTTTAGCATCACCCGCAAACGCTTCCACACAAATGTCTATCTATCATTTTCTTTTTTTTATGTTAAGTGAGAGAAAAATAGTTACACTGACCTTTCACATACAAACCTACCAATTTAGGACGTGCTGCACAAACAGGCTGATTTACAAGGGCATATATTCGCATCACGTATGCTGATATCTCCATGCTAAAGGCATACCGCATTTCCTCAATATCCATTGCATCTTCTAAGAAGTTAACTGATAGGACACATCCTTTTATTGTCAAAAGAAACAGAAATATTCTTTCTTTTTCTCCAAATTGTTTCTTCACACTCATCACCATCAATATCCGCATATAGCAGGCCATTCGTGTAGAATTTTTCAATTTAAGGTACTTAGAGTAGGGTATTTTTGCATGATATTCTTTGAATTTTGAAGAACCTCATGTCCCTCACATTATTGTAAATTTGCTGTTTGTTGGAAAGGTTTTACTCATCTGATCTCATGATAGTAATAACGGCAATAATAACTGTAAAGACCGAACATGTCACATTATCGCATATCTGCTTATCTGCGAAATGACAAAATTTATACAGAGCTTACGGAATTTAGTTGAGTTAGCCCTTGAAACCGTAATAATTCATTTTCTGTATTCCTAAATGCCACAGATGGGAGTCCGAGCGCATTAATATTTACGCAAACTAACTCGAGTTTATTACACAAACAAAATATCTTGCGCAACGATAATGATATTTGTTGCTTTAATTCACTGAGCAAATGTAGATTATAGTAATAAGTAATTATGTATTGGTTCAATATTGTTTTAGTCTCAATTAATATACAATATTATTTAAGCTTATTGTTCACAGAAGACGATGAGGCAACATATGAGCATCAGACTTATTTTTATCAAATATTTCGTTTCAAAACATAAGGCTTCTCGCAGTCTTGGCGGTAATGTCCGCTGTATATAAATGAGTTTATTCTAAAATCCAATAAAAGAAGAAAGACCAGCTGGAGGTCTCGTAAGTCATAATTTTCGGAAAGTTAAAAATAATTAATATATAATATGATGTAATACTGAATTCCTTTATATCAAGAGTTATTTATTAGTGATGAACATTCATTATATCTCTAATTCATTTGTTTATCCTATGATGTATAAATCATTGATTAGTTTTCTTAATTTCAGTAATTAGCATATAGATACATAAGCATATATATTCCTTCG